GGACAGGTGGGGTAGGGGGACACCTGGGTGGGTGTGGGGGTACTCGGGAGGTATGAAAGCACCTGGTCAGGTGTGGAAGAACGCAGGCAGGCGTGGATGCATCTGAGGAGTTAGGGTATGGGGGTGCCCAGGTAGGCGTAGGGGCACTTGGGCAAGTAGGGTGCAGACACCTGGGCAGCTATGGGAGACTGGGCAGGTGCGATACCTGCTAGGCAGATACCTGGCCAGGTATGAAACTATCTGGGCAGGTGAGATCCAGACAAATGTGGGCGTATGGGGGCACTGGGGCTGGAAAAAAGCACCTGGAACTGTGAGAGCTGGAATGAGCACCTGGGCAGGTATGGGGCACCTGGGCAGATGTGAAATGTACCTGGACAGGTGTTTTTAAAGTGGGCATACAGGTATGTGCTGGCGTGACCATCTGAAGTGGTATGGGGGCATCTGGGTATGTGCAGGGGCAGAGTAGAGGGGTCCTCTGGAGATGCTGCCCCCAGGAGCTGAAAGCACAAGGGACTAAGGTAGGAGCTGGGCAAAACTGGCCATGAAGATTGTTTGGGCTCTCTGGTAGGACCCTCTCTAACAGGCCTGTGCTGTCCTGCCAGAGATCAGCTGGACTGGCAGTGCACCTGGTTCTGCCCACCCTGTCTAGCTGCCCTGCCCAGCAATGCCAAGGAGAAACGAGGATATGACTGCCCCACTTGCCTATGGAGTGATCCTGAGCCTTTCCTCTTCTTCTCTTCCAAGGACTTCAGTTTATCAAGTGACAAAGATGCCCACGCCAGTGACAATGATGAGAATGCGGAGCGTGGCAACTGGTCAAACAAAGGCGACTACCTGCTCTCCATGGTGGGCTACGCTGTGGGCCTCGGCAACGTCTGGCGGTTTCCCTACCTCACCTACCAGAACGGCGGAGGTACCTATATTGAATGGCAATGCTGGGTGGGCACGCCTTGCTATCCCCAAGAGAGATGAGGGCCAGCCCTGAAATTGGGCATGTTTTGTCAAAGCTGGATGTGAGCATCACCCTGGGAACTGGGATAGCACCTGCTGATGGGAATGGGAAGAGGAATAAGAGGCCTCTCTGTGCTTTTTGGCTACCAGCTGAGGAGGGAAATAGTATTTACTTTTAATTGCAAACTTCCACCTGAGAATTCCAGAACTTGTCTCATTTACTCATGACCAACATGCATCTTTTTGTCAGTGCCAATATCCTCTACTTACCTAAATAGCTGTTCTCTCTTCCCATTGCTTACCTCCCTGTTATGTTTATAGAGAGCAACTGAATTCCCTCTCAACCTTTGTTTTGCAAGGCAAACAAGCTAAGCTGGAATAATTATCCAGCTTAATAATAATCTCTATCAGATACTTGGTAAGTGTGAGGCAGAGAGCCTCTACCTGCTTGTGCGATGAACTAGTGCCAAAGCCAAATGGAGGCACTGGCTTCCCTGGCAGCTCTTCCAGAGCTTTGTCTACTTGCCAGGGAGCCACTGGTAATTAAGGAGACCATAAATGCCAAGTAACTGCAGAGGACTTACTTGTCTGTACTTACTTGCTCTGCCTGACAGTCATTAGAAGTCACCATCTGGACTGTAAATGCAGCACAGCCCATACAGCTGCATGTGGAACACAAGGTGGCATTCTTGGTACAGAAGTTTTATTGGAGTGAGTTTGGCTGGGTTGCGTTACTTACAGTTTTGTTGAAGAAAATTGTGAAAACAAAATAAGTGACATTAGCCCTTCTACTAGATTTTTTTTTCTTATCTGCTACAACAGAAAGTTTTACATTAGAAGCATATTTGTACTGCTACTTGTAGCCTGCTCTGTGCCCCTTGCCCATGATTGATAAAGACAACTGTTACATCCTTGTTTCGAAACACAGGACTAATCCAGTTAATTCTGTGGGACTATTTACTTCCTTAAATTACAACAGGTATTTGCAGTTCCTTGCAGAACTGGGTCCTCAATTGCTTTAAGTTCACTGAGAGTGAAGAAGACAGATTTCTGCGGGGTATCAGGTTGTGTTTAGGAAACCTGTGCTCTCACTTGCCCTATCTTCTGCGCACACACAAAGAAGTGCCAGTCCCTTTCACAGAACAGGGCTGTCATTGATATCAGGTTAATGTGCACTTTAAAATGGACTCAAACAAGAGCCACGCTGAGATGCTGTTTGACACAGGAGTCAGCCAACCGTAGAAAATAATTTTCATGCTTTCATGTCCAGTAGCTACTCGATCAGGCCAGTTGCAACTTAGCTAAATACATGAAGGAATGGTTCTGTTACTTTTTAAGTAAAAAGCTGGAAGATGAACTACAAAGCAGACAAAGCTGATGGTCCCTACAGCTGACCAGTGTTCCTGCTTGTATGACAGCAGTATGTCTTCAATAGTTTTTGCAAAATCCTTTTAATTTTATAAGAGAAGCCATCCTATGTAAATCACCAGTTCTGGTAATCTGTGTCTCTTCATTGCAGGTAGTATTTAGTCGTACAGAAAACAGGATTTACAAACAAATCTCTGTTTTCTGCAAAAAGCAAAAAGCCCCACTGTGGGATATTTGAGCCAGGGGAAAAAGGGGAGTATAAAATGTGATAGATCTGTGGTGAATACTGAAAGATTCATTGTTTTCTGTTTGTGGGGTTTTTTCCCCTCTCTTCCCTCAGGTGCTTTTCTAATCCCATACACCCTGATGTTGGCATTAGCTGGCTTGCCCTTATTTTTCATGGAATGTTCCCTTGGGCAGTTTGCCAGTCTAGGGCCAATTTCCGTCTGGAGAATATTACCATTGTTTCAAGGTTGGTATTGTTATGTTTTCTTAATCTTTTTTATCCTAGTAATAAACAGATGTGAGTTAATCATCTCTTCAAAAAGTTACTAATTCTGAGAAGCCGGCTTCCGTGTAGATAATATTCCCAATGTTACAAGGTCGCTATTATGTTCCCAGGTAGATCTTCCCCATTCAATTAATAAACAGATGTGGATTAAAGATTTCCTCAAAAAGGTTGTCAATTATGAGAGGTTTTATCAATGATTCTCCTGGTGTTATGCATCATACCACCCTAACCACAGCTGTCCAGGCAGAAGGAAATAACCCCGTTTGCTGCGTGAGGGAAAACCTCGGTTAAACACCTGGCACTGTGTGCAACAGACTGAAAATAATTCTTAGAAGTTAACTTTACCAGTGTTTCTTTACACTTTATGTCCTATGTAGCTTGCAAGGCAGTTCTATGTTGGATGGGCTAATTCTGTATTTAGCTGCCAGCCTTGGCACAGGCATGTGGGTCTGATTGCTTTATGCAGTGCTGTGCGTGTATTCATGCAACTCACTGCCTTGGGAGTCGTCTGCTGGTGTGATAAAACAGGCTAGTCTCTGGCCTCATAAGGTGAGGTGCCTCTTGTGCTAAGAGAAATAGTTGCACTCTGTAGTGGTAGTTTGCCACTACAATGGCAATCTACTGTCTCTGTGAGGGTTTGAATTTCATAGGGAGATGTATGTGTTTGGAAACAACTAACCATGTGCTTTACTCATTCCTATCCATCCAGGTCCTGCACCGATGGGTGTAAAGGACTATGTAATTGGTCTTGTTTGTCCTCTTTATCTACCAGAGGAATTAATGTAGGAACAAGGAAGTTTGTTTCTGATGCAATAAGAATTTTACTTGCCACCTTCTACAGAAACAAAAGGGATTATGGTCTGGCTTTTTCTGCCAGTCTCTGTTCTGCAGCACAAACAACCTTTCACAAGAGCTGTGTATTTAACTTTAAAGCAAAAGTCTATAGACACAGCAAATATTTTATGTATCTGTGAAGATACAAACTTAAATATAGCCTCTGAGATGATTGGGAGAGTTTAGCAGACTTTCCCAAACTCGCAGAACAAAGCTCATTTTAACAAAGGAGGAGAACTATTATTAGCACAGATTTACTGTTCTGTGTTGTTTCTCATTTATTGGCAAAACTATTCATTACAATGAGATCTTTAAAATGGTTTGGTCAGTTGTAGTTTTTGTATAGTTTCTTTTATTTTACTAAGCAATGAAAGCTTCCCACTGAACTGGGAGAGAACAAAATATTGAATTTCTCCTTTAGACTTGGACTAGTCGAATTTTTCTGTGGGCCTGATTCAAACTCTGTGTCACACTTGAGATGGTCAGTTTGGATTATAACCCTCACTTCATGGCTTTACCCTTTCCCTGTTTGGTTGCCATTAAAAATTATTTGAAAAACAAACAAAAAACAAACTCAACTTCTTTCCAAGTGGCCTTTTCAAAGTCAAGTGAAGACCAGTCTTTCTTTCTTTCTTTTTTTTTTTTTTTTTAAACCCAGGTTTGGGGTACTTTAGACATTGTGTCTTTCTTTTTCCTAGGAGTGGGCATCACAATGGTCATCATCTCAACATTTGTGGCGATCTACTACAATGTTATCATTGCCTATGCACTCTACTACTTATTTGCCTCATTTCAAAAAGTGTTGCCGTGGTCAGACTGCTTTTCCTGGGCAGATGATTTCTGCAGCAAAACTCGATTAGGTACCGTACTTAACAGATATGGCCTAATGTTACTGTTTTGGATACTTGTACTTTGTACTGTTTTCTGGGAGAAATTACAGGGGCCAGACAGCTACCTGTGGCTCGAAAAGTCCTTCCTGGAGTTTTGTTTCTGAACACACAGGAGTGATGCTTGTCTGCTTCCCTGCCACCAGTTCTGGGTGCTTGGGAAATCTATAGAGAGCTGGGCTGAAACCACCTTGTTTAATCCTTTTTTTTGTTGTTTTTCTCCTTTAAAATCTACGGTTTCTTCTAGTACACACAGTCCCTGGAAACACTCCATTCCCATTTCATCAGGCCTCATGGCAAAGCAAATACCTTCCTTACCTGAAGCAAGAGTATTGCTATAGCTCTTATCCGGGATTCTTTCATTACCACTTGCCTCCCCTGTGGCTATGGTAATGCTAAGCACCAGTGAGGCACTGGTTTCACACTTTATTAACTCTTTAAAGCATATCTTCACTCTATTGTTCTTGATGTTTGGCAGCACATGTACATGTGCTTGTTATCTCACCGGTTTCCATATCAGACCAGTTTAAGGCAAAAGGTGAAGTTGGTGAGATAATTAGTAGTTAGTAGCTGGAAATGTGTTGCCAAATGTTAATGTAATTGTAACTCTTAACCATATATCTGAAAATGTCTTCTAAGATTCATAGGCTTCATAAAATGAAGCTGAGATGCTTTATTGAACAAAAAGTTGATGATTGCTTATGGGCTAAACAAAAATATTTTATCCCAAAATTTCTAAGTGCTGGAGGGATACAAAACTGAACCGAAGAAGCTGTCCTGAAAGAAGCTTCAAGAAAATTTTTCCAGTAAATGCTGATATACTGTTCTTTATGTTCTGGCAAAAAAAATACAAACCCAAAAAACCCAAGCAGTGCCCATTTTTTGTGTCCTGTGTGTCCTTACCCTCTGCCCAAGCAAAATGTTTAAAGAGCTCTAGTAAGCCCTCTGCCATAATAAGATGAAGTTGCTAGAGGATGATCTGTGTGTAACAGACATTGGTTTAGCACAAAGGCTTTTGTAGAATAACCAAGGCTACAATCTTAACTATCCTCAGTTCTGAATTTTGCAAGTATTCTTGACAATAAGTGAAAGGTGGAGCTGAGCACACCAAATTTTTGGTGTTTTGATTTACAGTCAAAGTAACAAAGTCACAGCTGCAAGTGATAGTTCAGGTTTGTTTCTAAATATTGTTAGTAGGCAAACTGAAGCTGTAACTGTTTAGAAAACATATTTGCTAAAATAGTCTGATTTTTATAATAGTCATCACTGTGTTAACAATCCCTTTTGCTTGCTTGCTTGCTTTCAGTAAGCGACTGCAATGCAACCTTACATGGAGAAATCGTTCATGCAAACTACTCATTCATCACAAACAATAATCTCACGTGTATAAATGGCACCATGAACTACAAACCAGTGCAATTTCCCAGCGAACAATACTGGAAGTAAGTAAATATTTTAAAAAATTGCTAAAAAGGTATTTATTATGCATTATGACTTTGAATGTTTCTTCTATTTTTGTCTCATCTTGCTGTCCAGAAAAAAAAAAAATCTAGTCAAGGGAAGTGGGCATGCAAATCTGTGAAGACAGGACTTAAAACTTAATTGATGAGCCTGGGCCTTAAAAAAAAAAAAAATTAAAAAATTAAAATACATATAGGGAAGCAAAAGAGCCAACCTGTGGCAAACTGAAAAATATCCAGCTTAAAGAAATCCTCTTCTCTGGGGTCCTGATAGGGACTACTTAGCATCTTTATGTGTAGCATATAGGTTTTTTCAGGAGTTACTGTGCAAAATAGATTTACCTCATTCTGAATCTGGGCCTGTTGTGAAATTGTCATTTCTTTAGCCACATGATTTCAATTTGCATCATGTTCCTTGGGTTCCTGGGGACTGATTTTTCTTATGGGCTCTTCTCTTACCTTTAGAATTTCATGGTTAACACAAAAGAGCTGAGGTAGGCCTGATGGGAGATGTATGGAGAGTTGAGGGCCAATAGACTTTAAAAAGAGGGAAAAAATGCAGTTAAATATTCAGTTTTTCAATGCCAATCATGCAACTCTAACTGCACGCTCATGGAAGCTGCTGCAGGGTCTTGTAACATTGGCAGAAACCAGCTCACTTTCCTTCAAGAAGTGACTGAAGAGGAGCACTGTATGCTGCTGTCTCCCTCTTCTCATTGCAGCGTTTTGTGCTTTCAGTAAAGTGGCTCTTCAACGCTCAAGTGGGTTGGACGAGACCGGTAACATTGTGTGGTACTTGGCGCTCTGCCTCCTCCTCTCCTGGATGATCGTTGGAGCCGCGTTGTTTAAAGGAATAAAATCTTCTGGAAAGGTAAGTTAGGAAGAGCAACTAGCAGACTTTTGGCCTGATCCTGCCATTCCAATGTCAGGTGGACCCAGGGATGGTTAGCACAAGGCAGGTTGCAGTCTGAACCCACTACCTTCTGCTGGATTCAGCATTAGGCTTTCTTTCTGTTAGCATTAGGCTTCATAACTGTTACATAAAATATGAGTAAGGTGCTGACTACACAGCAATTACTTAACACATGGATCTCTTAGCTCCACCAGGACTGCCATGTATTTGGGGATCTTGCTGTCATGCAGGTGATTCCAGCTGTGTTTTGGTAGTCACTTGGCCTGTTATGACGGACGTATGCATGTGACTGCACACGCGTGCACACACCCTGGGAACACCCGGTAATTATTTGCACCTCCAGACTAGTTCAGATGTTTGGACAATACAGGTCAAGTCCTGCAAACAAATGTGCGTGTACAGGCTCCTGCCAGATTGTGAAATGTTGTTGGTACTCAAGATTTCTAGCTGCTTTTAGGGTGCTTGCTTTCAGGCACCGGCTCTGCTGAGCTCCCATTTCCATGTGCTGGAGCATGGCTGCCTGGAGTCTTCCTTAGGTTAGGTTGGTTCCTCTCCAGACTTCAGGCAGGCTGAATTTCATTCATTTTTGCCTGAGACCCTTTTATGGTTTAGTTCCTTCCTCTTCATACTCCTTTCTTACCTCCATGCTGCATCTCCACATTTCCACTTCTTAATACTTCAGTCTGTTGCCTTCATTCTTTCTCTTGCCTTTTCTGCACTGATTTTTTTTTTCCATTCCTTCTGTCATGTCTTTCCATAGTTCCTTGCTGCCCATCTTCCTTTCCTCAGTCTGATGTCTCCTATTCCGCTTTCTATTTGGAGCTTTTTGTTCTCCGTCTCAGCGCTTCAGGGTGGAGTATCTGTGCTTTCCCAGCCACAGTTGTTCAACTACCACATGGCTCCTCTTAAATTCACATTCCTTGGGTTCCTGGCAATTGGCTCTTCCTGTTGTCACTTATCTTCTGGCATGAAGGTAAGCCTCTTTGAGGAGTAAGGTAAGAGGCAGAAGAATCTAGCTAGACAGGAACAAGGCAAAGATGAAGAGCAGTGAGAATTGACTATTCCAGGTGAATATGAAGGAGGTCTTCAGAAATGGCAGATTCACCATATGATGGTGCAATGCTGTGGCTTGGTGTAACCAGCAGTACCAGCTCAATTATCTACCTGCGTAACACTGAAACTAAGACTTGAGAAACAAGAGTATTGTTGAATGTAGCCTGCATGATAATAGCACTGCTTAGCTCTACTTCTGGCCTGGATCCCGTTGTGCTAGAAATTGGGTAGACAAACAACAAGAGATCCCTGTCTGAGAATGTAAAAGTCCTTGTTCCCAGTAAAGAAAGCTTCCAGCATGGCTTGCTCGTTTTGTGGGGGTTTTTGTTTTGGTTTGGGTTTTTTATGGTTTTATTTTGGGGTTGTGTGTTTTGTGGTTTTGTTTTGGTTTTTTTCCTTCCTACTTACAGCAGGAGATAATTCCATCCTGGTCACCTAATTTTGACTGGCTTTCAGTTTGCATTTGCTAGAAGCATTGCCTAGCAAGAGACCTTTGGGGTAGTTAAGTCCAGGCCTTGCTACAGCAGTAAATCATGTCAGAAAACACATTTCTGAAACTGGTCAAGTGCTATTTGAAAAGTGGATATGTGGTTTGGGTCTTCTGCTTCTGCTGGAATGCAGCTCCAGAACCGGCTAAGCCAGATGGTTTAGTGCTTGGTGTGCGTTCACTTCCCTGGTCGCCTGTTTTTCATTTGTACCAGCCAACCTTAGCCTAAAACCTGGCCATTTCTCCTGCACAGAGGTCTGTGCATCCCCTTGCTTCTAATGTGTGTCCCTGCCCTTCTTTCTGCAGGTCGTCTACTTTACTGCACTCTTCCCATATGTCATCCTGCTCATCTTGCTGGTGCGCGGTGCCACCCTGGAAGGTGCTCTGGATGGCATCGAGTACTACATTGGGAGGCAGTCCAACATCACCAAGTTGATGGAGGCAGAGGTGAGAAGTAGTGTCAAGTCCCGAAGTGTGACATGCTTCTGTGGTTCTATGGGCTTGTCACTTATGGAGCAACTTCTTTCTAATCTAGTCATGGGCTTCTTCATGTCCTGCCCCTGCATTTTGTATCTGGAGCCGGCTTCTGTGTTTTCAGCAACCCCCAGCTCTATCAGAAGTACAAGCCCCTATTCTAGCTACTCATAATCTAAAAAAAATAGCCACCATCTTCCCTCTCCCTGCCACACCAGATAGTGATGACAACTGTGGTATTGCATCTGAGCAGCTCTCAGCAGTCATGTTGGAGTTTCATCTTAGCAAGGCCTGCTGAGAAAGTTCTTGCTGTGGGATCAAGAGTTGCTCTTGCATGTGTCCCACTTGCTTTGGTTACTGATAATTTCAGGGGACTTTATCAGAAGGTTGGAGGGACCCCAGAGTTTGAAATTCAGGCTGTGCCTTGCCCAGGAAATCAGCTTGGGAAACTAGGTGGACCGGGAAGAGCACCTTGTGCAAAGGAGGTCTGGATTTTTTTGTTCTGGCTTATGCCAACATTTGTTCAGCTTTACCAAAACTAGACATTAAGCGTGATATTTATTTGTGGTATTTTATGTGAGCATTTGGTGCTGAGGGGCTGCAGCAGAGGCAGCAGTGTTTTTTGTGGGTCACAGTGTGAGGAACAAAAATGGGAGAGCACATGGAAGTTCTCAGTCCTGCAACCTGGTCCTGGTTTTCCTTATTCATTGGCACTCTGACAAGATTCATATCTTGACAACCCACATATGTGAATTAATTTAATCTCTTCTTCAGGGCTAGCCCAGTAAGATTTAAATATTTGGCAACATACTCGGGATGTGACCTTCAGAAATCAGAGAAGCTACCATTTGTACTCGAGACTACAAGGTCATGCTATATCCCACTTACTCTAAATTTAATATGAAATAGAATTAGATTTTCAGGCTAAATGTGGAAAAACCCTTGAGCTTCAACAGATGGCAGGCTTAAATGTTTATGATATGTACTGTAACTTATACAATAATTTCCATGTTCTTATTTCTGGTAGGTTTGGAAAGATGCAGCCACCCAGATATTCTACTCCCTGTCTGTGGCATGGGGGGGGCTTGTTGCTTTGTCTTCGTACAATAAGTTCCACAACAACTGCTACTCAGATGCCATTTTAGTTTGTGTAACCAACTGCGCCACCAGCGTATTTGCCGGGTTTGCGATATTCTCCATTTTGGGACATATGGCATTCGTGTCCGAGAGACCTGTCTCAGAGGTCGTGGACTCAGGTAGGCTGATCACACTGTCGGTGTTGAGACTTGCTTTGACCAAGGCATGACAATCACCTCCTTCTGTCCACTACTTTTCAGGATTTGATCTAGCATTTGTAGCCTACCCAGAGGCTCTGTCCAAGTTACCAGTTGCTCCTCTGTGGTCCTTCTTGTTTTTCTTCATGCTCCTGCTCTTGGGCCTTGACTCTCAGTTTGCCACCATAGGTGAGTGGGGGTTTTAAGTAGCCCATGGCTTCTCAAATGAACATTACCTTTCTTAATTGTGCTGTTCAAAACACACACTTCTTCCTTTGCAGAAACACTTACAACCACCATACAAGATATATATCCCAAAGTAATGAAAAAGTTAAGAATCCCTGTAACACTGGGTGTGTGCATATTGCTCTTCTTTCTTGGTCTTATCTGTGTTACTCAGGTAAGATATTAAATTCTTTTTTGGCATTGGGTTTAGTTATGCTGCAAATAGTAAATTTAAGTCAAAATATCCTTTCCAACTGTTCCTGCTTGCATGGATTAATCTGAGAGACTCTTGAATTCTGCCAGTGTGCCTGGACATGCAAATAATAAATTCCCAGAGGGAAGCTTGAAGGAACTAAGGTTTTCTGTGATTATTGAACTGAGATGTGCTTTTGAATAGAAGGCCTGTACAGAGCCTGTGAACCATCAACCTGATTTACTGCTCCTCAGTTCAGGAGGTTATTTGTGTAATCTCAAGCATACGCATACAGTGTGTCTGCAGTGCTGTGGGTACCGCTAACAGCCAGTAGGTGCTGATGGGATCTTTTTGTTCAGAACTGACTACCAAACAGGACAGGATTTGAGAAATGGCCTATTTACATCATAAAAACCTATTAGCTCGCAAGCATCTGTGGATTGTATGGTTACTTCTCCTGTGTGTGTGTGTGTATATGCACACACACTCACGTACATAAAAGGAATTTTAAGTATACGGTGTAAAATTTCTTGAGGCAATTGCTTTCAAGGATATATAAAGGTTCATTGCAATGACTCCATCTAGAAATGCAGATTTATATATGCGATTAGACTGAGAATGTGAAGATGGTAATTGTGGTGAATAGAGAGTTGTATGGTCAAGCAAAGCACATAACTTATGGAACATGATGGCAGGGAAGCTTGCAAAGGACATAGTATTCCAGAGTGTGAAATGGCTTAAAGCTTCTTCCCTGCTCTGTGATCCTGTTACTGCATGCTGGTGTTTAAAGCTGTGTTTAACACATGTGGAAAACTTGTGTCTGTAGGAGTATACAAGCCTCCCAGAACTGATCATGGGTATAGCTGTTGCTATAGTTCAGTATTAAAACTTCAGCATGAGCTATTATACTGTAAGCTCCAAATTTAAATCTTGCTCTCAGCTGTTTATACAGACTCTGCATATACGTATCTCTTGTTATTAGTATACAGATCTACAGTATTTTGTCAGATGTGATTTTCAACCTCTCACAGAGATATTTAAACAAAATATTCACAAATGTGTACTTAACCTAGGAAACTGGAAATTTAGAAACTCGGACTGGTGGTTAGTTAAACTGGCTTGAACAATGTGACTTATTTGCATAAAGACTTTATTGGAACTGGGTACATTTTTACCTCTTTATTGTTTGTTCTACAGGCAGGAATTTACTGGGTTAACCTAATAGATCACTTTTGTGCAGGATGGGGAATCCTTATTGCAGCTGTCCTGGAGATAATAGGCATTGTCTACATTTACGGTAAATTATTTGCATTGAAAATCCATTATTTGACCATGCAGTTCCAGACACAATGTATATTAAACATTAGTTACTGCAATAAAGCATTTATGACTTAACTGGCTGAAAAGCTTTAACAGTTACCACACAACTGGAGGAACTGACCTTCACCATTGCCTTCCTTCTATCCCTTTTGAGTAACCACATCTGTAAGCGAGGCACCTGCTTTACAATGCACCCTACACCTGTCTTTCAACAGGAGGAAACAGGTTCATTGAAGACATTGAAATGATGATTGGAAAGAAGAGACGTTTATTCTGGCTGTGGTGGAGAATGTGCTGGTTTTTCATTACTCCTGTGCTGTTAATGGTGAGTATAGATGACTGGATTGTGTTAGTGTGGCAGAACTTATTAATTTGATATTGAAGAGATTTCCATGTGAAGATTCAGTGCAGAATGCCCAGGCCCTATGTGTAAAGACAGGGAATGGCTGTGCCAGTGAAGCAAACTATGTGCTATCTGTACTTGCGGATACATACCACTCCTCATTGGGTTGTCTCCAGGAGAGGCTGGACCTTCAGATCAGTTGCTAGTGATAGACAGAGATAGTCCATTTTAGCGGCTGGATTATCTTCATTTCAGACTGAGACAATGTTTTGAAAACCTAGATTTATTTTTTTTTTTTTCCCTTTGAGGGAAATCTCTTTTTTGGGACAGGTCCCTGGCTTGGGTTTGCTCTTTGGATGTCCAGCTGTTCCCCTGTCTGAGACTTTTTTAATGTCCTGTTATTTGTGTCTCATTTCTTCATTACTCTTGTGCTTCTAATTGTGAGTGTAGATGGTTGGATTATGTTACTATGAGAATTCATTAATATCCCAAATCCAGGAGCAGTGGCAAGTCAATCTGGCCAGCACATTACTTTTAACCTGTCGGACTACAGTTTAGATAGTGCTGCTCCTAAAAATATCTTATTTCTGCAGCAATATTTGCCAACAGTTAGATTCTTGCCCATATTTCTGTAAGTAATGGAATGTGGGAACATACAAAACATACAAATGAAGGTACTGTGCTCATGCAGCAACATACATATTCTCCAACACAAGATTTCAACAGAACCCATAAATCAAGTTATGTTTAAACACAGATGTACTTAAAGTGTTAGGGTGAATGTCAGTCTTACTGCTTGGCCATGACTTGAACACCAAATCCTGCACAACCATTCTCACACTCAAGGGAAGAACTGTGCAGAATTTCTAGATAACCCCTTTTTTTTTTTAACCAACTTGGAAATATGGTGCAAGTTCAAGTTAGCTGGAAATCTGATTTTTGCTCTCAAATTCTTTGCCATTTTTTATAGGCAATTTTGGTCTGGTCTCTGGTCACATTTTCACCTCCCACTTATGGCTCAGTGTTATATCCAGCCTGGGGAACTGCTGTTGGCTGGTGCATGATTATCTTCTGTGTCATCTGGATTCCCATCGTCGCTATTCTAAAAATAGTTAAAGCTGAAGGAAATCTTTGTCAGGTAAGGGCACAAAAAAGCTGTCATAGGCTCAAATCTTGCTTTCCTTGGCATTATCAGGAATGTCTGTGCTTTCTTCTCAAAAACACGTTCACCACTTTGAGGTGTTCATTAGTTGGATTTTTAGACCAAAACACATCTCTGGTAGTTGCATCAGAGGCAAATTAACCCTACTGTCTTCTGTTAAGAATATAAAGTCTAATTCTCTGGGAGTGCACCTGTACATTTAAGAGTGATTTTTTTCATGGTTTCTGTTGTTGTTCTAGCTGCCTTAAATTCTCTAACGAATTTCTATCACTTTCTATCCCTATATTGTTTTCTGGAGTTTTGCCTCCTATTCCTCACAGAAACAAGCAAATGCAAGATCTGAGGTATGCTGCTCTTGCCAAGCTCTGCCAAAGAGTCCTGTTGGTCACAGCTTTTCCTGCTTGTTTGGCTTCAGTGTCCAGAATCAGAATGGTTTGAGTTGGAAGGGACCTTAAAGATCATCTAGTTCCAACCCCCCTGCCATGGGCAGGGACACCCTCCACTAGACCAGGTTGCCCAAAGCCCCATCCAACCTGGCCTTGAACACTTCCAGGGATGGAGTCTCTGCAACCTGTTCCAGTGCCTCAGCACCCTCACAGTAAAGAATTTCTTCCTAATATCTAATCTAAAACTATCCTCTTTCAGCTTAAAGCCATTACCCCTCATTCTATCACTCCATGCCCTTGTAAACAGTCCCTCACCATCTTTCCTGTAGGCCCCTTTAAGTACTGGAAGGCTGCTATAAGGTCTCCCTGGAGCCTGCTCTTCTCCAGGCCGCACAATACCAACTGTCTCAGCCTGTCCTCATAGGAGAGGTGCTCCAGCCCTCTGATCATCTACTGAAACCAGAGATATTTGAAATGATTCTAAAAAACTTTGGTGATTTGTTTGCAACTTGTTGAGTTGCAGGGCATATCCAGACTTACAGCTTTATTGAACTTTAAAAATAGCCCAGACCAAGGTAAGACATCAAATGCCTCTTGTGCTTGCTTTCCAGCGCATTGTAAGCTGCTGCAGGCCCGCTGCAAACTGGGGTCCCTACCTGGAATGTCACCGAGGAGAAAGATACAGCCATATTGTAGATCCCAAAAAGGAAAAGGAACACGAGATTCCTACTGTGTCTGGCTTTGTATACACTCAACAATGAGATGGCCATTTGGATGACAGATTTTTAACATATGTGTGTGGTTTTTTTTTTTCTTTAACTATTAGAAAGTGACAATGCAAAATAACAACAAAAAGCAAATCAACCCTCTGCTCTTCAAAACCCAGCCCTCAAATGAAAGCGAGCCATTTTATTTATTTTTAGTGCTGCATGTTTGGGGAGGAACAGGTACATTAGACACTGACATCTCCCCAGATATTCAGGTTGAGAGGACAGGAAAATGCATTGCAGGCTCTCCAGGCTGATGGACTGGGTATGCTTAACCCCATCCAACCCATATCCAGCTGGACTGCAGATACGGGTGTGGAACAGAACAAAGACATTCTGGTGCTCCCCAGCTACAGGCAATTTGAGCCAAAAGGTGCATGCCCCAATGTGCTATGGGCAGTTACTACCTTCTGCTGTGCTTTGCCATCCACAGTGGTGTGCAGTCGGCAGAGAAGTGAATGAGTGTGCTGCTGCCAGCTGGCACTGTAGCTCAGGGAACAGGAATAATTTTTCTGTCTAAGCCTTGCTTAGTGCTGTGAGGCTGCTCAGTATTTGATGTTGATTACAGTGTGTGTGTGTTTTGTCTGTGTATCTAAATATTGAGTGGCAAAAAATTGCCATCACAGGAAATAAGGCCTTAAAATGGTGAAAAGCAGGCATCTTTCTATTTCTCATTATTCCCCTTGGGATCCCCAAAGAGCAATCTTCTATGTCTTGCCCCATGCTCAGCATTCATCGATCTATAACTCAAAAAATCCCATATTGGCATATAGTGTCACTAGGCTCTGCAGAATGAAATAGTAACTATTGAATTCTGGTGTGTCTGCCCTCCCTACAGCCATCAAGGCTTTACCTATCAGTTAGTTCTCTGCATCTTTCACTCAGACTTGGATTTTCCCTTCCAAACAAGACCCAAAGTACATTTTCAAGATTCAAACAGTATTATCGATGTTGTGGTAGGGCCAAAAGAAGCAGAACTTTATCCCAAGTAAATTCTTGTAAGGTTGAAACCATCTTGTAGTGCTGTTACTCCAAAATTTGCTGAAATCGTGAGTTTATTGAAAAGTTAGGAAGTTTGTAATGCATTTGGAAACACAGACTTATGCTTATACCTAGGCAGGGAGGGCTTAGGGTTAAGAGAACCTGCCTTCACTCCATAATACAAGTGAATTCCTGATAAAGGAAAAATCATCTATGGATTATATGAATACATTTTGTGTGGCAAGGAATGTGTCTGTTACTGTGATAATGGTTCCTTGGGAACAATGCAGCAGGGTTTTTAGCTGTCACTTCCTCTCAGGGCTTTGTCACTGTTTCTGGACTTGAAGGAGTGTGAATAGTGACTTGTTGCCCAAGCTGCATACTTTAGTGTATGTTTTATACTGATCTTTTTGTGACAAATCAACACATGATGGCAAATAAAATGCAGTTTTCTGTTTTTAATGGTTTTGGTGCTGGAAAATGAGATTTTAGGCTTTTGCATGGAGTTGGGGGGAGGCAGTTGGTGGGATGTACTACCGACTCTTCTGTGATCCTAAGTCTTTGGGAGATTGAACTGGGAAGGTTCCAGGAAGCCTTTTCTTATAGAAGTTAGGATCTAGGGCAATAACCCTGTTTTGGAGCAGGGTCAGAAAATACAGAAAGTAATTGAGTGGGAATTTATAAAAAGGACTGTGGGATTAGAGCCCGTAACAGAAGGTGGTGAAGACGAACCTTTTCCTGCACTCCAGCTGCTTTAGGGTCGTGTTCTAGCCACAAATCAGAAGGAAACAGTGCTGTTGCTGGCCCTGATGTGTGGAGAGGCTGGGAGTGGGAGGGAGGCTGAGGTGCTCAGCCCCCAGTGCTCCAATCCATTGGAACTGCCACAGTGGGCAGCAGTTCATACCCGGGAAGGAGAGACAAGTTAGACAAGCAATGAGTGAGAGTGCTCCAAGAGGTGGTGGGGAAGTTGGCTTGCCAAACCAGCTTCAGAAAGAATTCAGGAAGGTTTTGGCAAAAGAGATGCTGAAGGCTAATACCAGCCATCTACTGCCCTGCAGGAAGCCCCTGCTGCTGCACAAAGGGCTCCTTTGAGGCTTCTGCTCTCGACTTGTCTTACGGGCTTCTAGGACCTGTTTTCATGATGTTGCACTATCAAAGCCTCCCAGAAGAGCGACAGAAGACAGTTTCTCAAGGGCTGGGGATCCATTTTTGGTGCTTTCTCCTTTCTCCAAGGTAAGAAAATCCTCCAGTTTTGAAAGCAAGATTTGCTCAGTTGGCCCCTGGCAGAGCTGGGATCCCTCTCTGCGTGACCATGTCTGACATCTTCCTGGTACATCCAATTTCTGTTGCTCTCTTTGGATGAGCTGACTGTTGGCATCTGCTGAGGAGTCTCAAAGAGTATTTAGGAATTGGCATTCATATTCCTTACCCATCCCAGCTCTGGCCCAGCAGCTAGGATTGTTCAATAGCCCTGGAGTGTTACATGGAGAAGCAATATGTCCCTTAGTGCTGCTCTGGAGGTAGACTGGGCCCAGCAGACCTGGGCGTAATCCTCACCCACACAGGCTGATGCCCAGCGTCCTGGTGTTTGTTGAGTTGAGAAACCAGCAGTGTCAAACAGCGCTGCATTCCTGGTAAGGGACAATGCTCTGTGCTGAGCAGGTGGTCAAAATGCCTGGAGTTTGGGGGGGGTGGGGGTGGGGTGTTTGGTGGTTTTTGTTTTTCTTTTGAGGAAAAAAAGAAAATGGTTTTGCTTTGGATCCAGTAAACAGGATTGAAAGGAAAATGCTTGGAAAGAGAAGAGAGTCTTTTCCACTTCTATGTTTGCTTTGGATTGGGTCAAAATGCAAGTGTGTTTCAGTCAGGGAAGAGAGCACAGACATGTACAGTTCCAGTAAGCCACATCTATAACATTTTAAAAGACACATTTCAACTGGGATTTGTATATGTATGTCAAACAATTAGGTGCCAAGTTTATGAAAGCCAATTTTAAACCCCTAAATTATTTCTATTGCAGAGACTGTTCATATGCATGAAGTCAAATTAAAAAAAAAAAAAAACCAAACATTTAACTTTGTTTCTACCCCATCCTCTATTTGCAATGGGACATTTTTCAGCCGGGCTGCGTGGTGGTGCATTAACCATCAGAGAGCAGCGTCTGCTCATGTCTTCTGCTCAGCTCCCGGCACCCGGGGAGTGGGACCTGCCAGGGGTCAGCGCAACCCCCCAGTGCAGCCCAGCTCTGCCCGGGATGCTGGCCCGCTTGCTCGCTGATCCGTGGCTCTGGAGACTGCATTATAAAGCAGCAGCCACTAAAGCTGAGTCATTTGGCTCTTGCTCCTGCCTGGCTGGCAGCTGTTGAATGGCGTCTGAGCTTTGAATTGGACTGGCCATGTTGAAAGATTTATTTTTGTTTTTTTTAAAATCCAGTTCCAAATGTGTGAAAAAGATAGCTGGTGTGCCCATTGAACTGCTGCTTGGCTTCAAGCTGAGTGTTACAGTAGCAATACAGCTGCTCTGGCCTCTGCAGCCATGGGTTATCTCGGCGGACCAGTTGTCCCTGTAAGTGGACCTTTCCAGCCCCATATTGCAATTTTGTGATGCTTTGTGCACCCCCACTCCCAAGTCCACAGAGTTCAACTGAGCCTCACCCTGTTGTCCTCCATGCCTGTGGATGATGTGGCCTTGCTGAGGTGTTCCATTCCTGGCTTTTTTATTTATTTTATTTTTCATAAGAAGTATCAGCATAGACCCAGAAGCAGCATGAACGTTTATAACAGAAAGCTTTCTTTTCTTGTTTCAGCTTTACATGTAACTTTCCATCACTATGTATAGGAGGGCTTTGTGTCATTTTTTGGCTTAAGATCCATGGCTATGGCTGTGTTTGTGGGCACCATGGCACCTCAGTCAGTCTCCAAGGGCTGGGGCATCTGCTGCACAGCTGTAGCACAGCTGTTTAGAGAGGGATGAATGAGAAGCGAGAGGTACCAGTGTGTGAGCTGAGCTGACTTGCTGGGGGGCTGCACAGGAGTGAGGAGGTGATTCCACAGCCCATCTGTTGAGGGCAAAATCATGTATTTCCTGTGAGTCACCTTCTGAAGGGGTTGGAAATACTCCACAAAGTTTGATCCAGCAGAAAAATCCCCAAATGATCAAATTGAAACTCATCTTGAAACAAATTAATCACTGTTGACACCAAAGAAATTACAGGGGCAAAAGGGTTTACATTGTTGAAAGAACCTGGTTTCAGTTATTTCAGTGATGTTTGCTTTTTAACTCAAATGGTCTTTCTTTTGGAAGGTTAGTAAATACAGACTACAAAGTACTGAAGAAGGAAAATGCTGAAATTTAACAAGCCCTTCTTGGAATTTAAAAAAATTAATTTCTCACTGGACTGATTTGGAAGGGAGGTGAGAGGGAAGTTGACATTTTGACTTCTTGATTTGGAATGACAAAATTATTGTTACAACTGTCTGAAAGATGAGAAGAATCTTTTCCAATTTAGCTCTGTGATGGAAATATGGCAAATGCTGGTAGAACCCTTTAAAAAGAAAAAAACCTCTTACCATAGTGGTGTTAGTTATTTTTTAAAAGTTAACTTTTGGCTATCCCTTAAGGGGGTTTAGGGAGCCAATATCTAATCTCAGGTTCCTATGAGTCCCAGGGAATCTCCAGATCCTCTGTGTAGATTAGCCTTTTGGACAGACAATATAGGGGAGGGGAAAATAACCCCCTGAAATCTATAGGCTGTAGGTAAATGGCACTTGATGAAGGGAATGAGGAAAAGATTTTATATATATATATATATGTAACTGATCCCATGTAAGTATTTTTCATTGATTTTTGTAGATTAATTGCCTATAAAATAATACAGGGTAACTGGGTATCTGAGCACATAGAGGGCAGACGACCAGCTCCTCAATCTGGTTCTTCTTGTCCTCTCTCTTGCCCCAGTGGAGGAGTCTCTCATTGACGCAGAGGGAAATGAAATATGTGCGATCTGAACTGCATGT